CTAGTTTCATCAACTTTGGGCGTGGCAATGAGTTTTCCATTCTTTGGTAAGCATATGTGTGTGTTTGTGTGTGAGAAGTTCAAACTCTTAAAATAAAAGACGTGTTTTTCACTCTGCTGGCTATCTGGCTATCTGGCTATCAACTACTAACAAAATTCAGCTAGTGAACAATTTTGATTGACAATCGAACAACATAACATATCACATCATGTGATAAAAGAACATTTTTGCTTAAAATAAAAAGACAAGGCAAAGTTCTTTGGATATAAAGTGTGGCGTCTACTAAGCTGTTCATTTTGTCAACTGGACTGCAGGCTCTGTGATGGCATTGATTGGATCCTTAGTAGCAATGCTAGTGGTGAGTAACTTCTTCATCAACCCATTCAATTCCAGGATAGAGGGAGCCAGTCGATCCATCAACAAACATGATTGAGCGACCGGCTCTCTCTATTCCGCAATTAAAACTTTTAGTATATATACACCAAGATTGCATGCAGTTCATTGACGAGTTGAAATCTTTTTCTTGGTTTTTTTTTTTTTTTTTCTTTCTATTATTGCTTGACAGGCTGTTGTTTTTCCATGTGTGTGTTATCTCATCCTACTCAGAGGTAGATTAACTAAACTGCAGGTAAGAATCACAACCCATTATTGTAATTATTACTCAATGCAATTAATTTATCAGAACGTTTCTGCAATAATGCCTCTTTCACAATATTTCCTGCTCTAATTTTCAGATTGCAACTTGCATTCTGATCATAACTGTGGGGGTGGTGTGTTCTATTATTGGAACATACTCAGCAATCTCAAGAATAGCTGATCAAATGTAATTTAACACGTGATATTCTAGCCTAAAGCTAAAGGAGGGAGACTGGTCACGTGTCGTTTCGTTATTGATTTGTTGCACCATGTAATACAACCATTGTACTGTAGACTTTCAACAAATAGGAACAAACAACCCAATATGTGACATTCAGCTAGCTTTCTTATTACACAAAATTAAATGAACTTGGTCCTTTATATGTTCAATAAAGGGGGTTCATTTGGTTCCAACAAGTTATGTAATTCACAAGCCAAGCAGGACTTAGCATGCATCAATCCATTTGTGGAGAAATGGAAACTAGTGCCCAAGCAACGTTTCAATCATGCAACCAACAGCACTGTTCCTGCCCTCAAACAATTCAGCATTACATGTGCAACCGACCGGAGGCTTTATGTTTATAGTATTCACAATTTACATTGGTTGCCTCACCACCGATTTTGGATTTGACAATGAACTATTTTAGTAGCAGCACATGAATACTTAATTTAGTTGATATATTTATTTGTTTTGGCAAAAGGTACGGAAGATATTTCGCTCAATTTTTTTTTTGGTCAACAAAGATATCATAAAAGCCAACCGGCAAAGGCCCAAAGGAGAGCCAAACCCAACCAAACCAACAGATTAGACACACCAAACCAAAGAACTAAAAACAAGCCAAAAGAACAAAACAAACGAAAACCACACAACAAAAGATTAAGCACCAGGCGGAGGGCAAGGAAGACCATCCCGAGGTATTTCGCTCAATTAGGGAAGAGTATTTGTCGAATTCACACAGATATCTTGTATCGATGCTCAGTGTTGTATGAAGTAGCGTAGTACCCTATATTTGTAGGACCAATAAAAGAGAGGACCCTTTAATGGAAGACTCTATAACTTGCCAATAATGCTATGACACACGTAATAACACTTTCAAGTAACAACACTTTCAAGTAACGTAACATATTGGTCGGAGATAGTGAAATAGTGTAATTCCGGTTGCAATTAAGTTTTTCTCTTTTAATTGGGAGGGGCCTTAAGGGCAGATGTCAGGGCTAGCTGTCCAACTCACAGCCTCACAGAGCCTACCCCTGGCCAAAGGAGAGGAGAGCCATCAGTTCAGTCATGTGCAGCAGCCCTTTAAAATAACTTCAAAATTCAAGAGTCCTCCAAGTTCCAACCAACAAGAAGAAAAAGGTCGCTCCATACTTTTAGCACGAGGATGCCATCATCGATATCATTCAATTATTCTTGCTCTATGTACGATTAAAACCTTATGGTGAAGCACACAACACAACTCAGAGATATGAAGAAATGGTGATTCGGGATGAATTATTCTAGGGCTTTCATATGGGATTTCTTTTTTAAATAGAGTATTTTAGGATTTAATTAGGGGTGAATTATAATGTAAGGTTATTAATGAAAATCATTTGTACCGTTGAGTTTAGTATGTAAGTTTTGTACAGCCCACTTTTGAATCTTGAAACCATCACTGAACACAGAACTTCAAGTGTAGAAATAACTGCTCTTAATCACTCTACAAGTTCCTTACTTGTAATAGCATATTTTAAAGGCTACATAACATAATATAGTCAAGTCAACCTCCGGTAAAAAATGTGAATCATGAGACCCTTCTTCATCAAACAGAGCCTTTGGAAATCACTGACAAATGGACAGAAAATTTTGTTGCAGAAGCCAATGAGCTATACAAATGGAAGGCTTCTTCGAAACTGCATAAAGATCTACCAATGTAAAAGAGAAGAAAAAAAAAGTGTGCAAGCTTAACTGACATGCACCAAACTTGACAAAATAAGGTTGTTTGGTGACATGGTCCAGCGTAAGTGTAATTGTATGTAACCACACCAAACGACATCGTTGGACACTGTCGTTTGATCCTCGTCTACCTTATAGATCTCACCATGTGTGGAAGCAAGCAAGATCTTTTAAGCAGCAAGAAAAAACTGCGAAAGTGAAGCTTCTTTTGCTCTGTATCAGAAGAATCATATTCAGAGTCTTTTTTTTCTTTTACTCTGTCCCCAAACCACAGGACACTCCACATTCAACCACATTCTGCTCATTAATACATACCCTTCACTCCCTTAACCCAAAACACCATCTTCCGCATTTTGCCTTCCATTTTAAGCTCCCTTTATATTAAATCACCATGAAAGCCTGCATTTTCTGGAACCGTCTACAAAACCCATGTCTAAAGTTTCAATCTTTCATCTTCTTCTGCTCTGTCACTGTCCTCATTTGCTTCACTGAACCGAAACTCTGCTCCCCTCAAACCCAAACACTTGTTTTACCCCTCAAAACTCAACAAATTCCATCTGGGTCCCTCCCAAAGTCCCCAAACAGGCTTCCCTTTCATCACAATGTCACCCTCACAGTCTCCATCGCAGTGGGAACGCCTCCACAGAACGTTTCGATGGTCATCGACACTGGAAGCGAGCTCTCTTGGCTTCACTGCAACAAAACCCGAAACTTTAACACCACTTTCGACCCGACCCGGTCCTCCTCCTACTCGCCCGTCCAGTGTTCGTCGTCCACCTGTACGACCCGGACCCTAGACCTCACCATACCCGCTTCCTGCGACTCCAACAAGCTCTGCCACGCCATTCTTTCCTACGCTGACGCCTCGTCCAACGAAGGAAATCTCGCCTCCGATACGTTTTATATCGGAAGCTCCGGAATTTCGGGTTTGGTTTTCGGGTGCATGGACACAACCTTCAGCTCCAACACGGACGAGGACGCGAAGACCACCGGGTTAATGGGCATGAACCGCGGGTCTCTCTCGTTCGTTTCCCAAATGGGGTTTCCGAAATTTTCATACTGCATTTCGGGTTCCGATTTTTCCGGCCTGTTATTGCTTGGAGACTCTAACTTCTCTTGGATCGCGCCGTTAAATTACACCCCATTGGTTCAAATCTCGACCCCGTTGCCGTACTTCGACCGGGTCGCTTACACTGTCCAGCTTGAAGGCATCAAAGTTTCGGACAAATTGCTTCCGATACCGAAATCGGTTTTCGTACCGGACCATACCGGGGCGGGTCAAACCATGGTTGACTCGGGAACCCAGTTCACTTTCCTTCTCGGCCCGGTTTACACCGCTTTGAGAAACGAGTTCTTGAACCAGACCTCAAAGATTCTCAGCGTTTTGGATGATCCAAACTTTGTTTTCCAAGGTGCCATGGATTTGTGCTACTGGGTCCCTCCGGGTCAACCGAGACTGCCGCCATTGCCTTCTGTGAGCTTAATGTTTCGGGGGGCCGAAATGAAGGTATCGGGTGGCCAGTTGCTGTATCGAGTACCGGGTCAAGTGAGGGGAAATGATACGCTGCATTGCTTCACATTTGGGAACTCTGACCTTTTAGGCGTGGAGGCGTACGTGATTGGTCATCACCATCAGCAAAACGTGTGGATGGAATTTGATCTCCAAAACTCTAGGATCGGTTTGGCTCAGGTGCAGTGTGATTTGGCGGGTCAGAGATTCGGTCTCAGTGTATAGTTCCCCGGGCTTTGATGGTCTGGGTCCCACATATCAGAGCCTTTAATTGGACGGTTAGATTACTGTGTGTAGTACATGGTATTTACAGTGGTGTGGTCCTGTCGACAATATTATCGTCCTCTTTAGGCCACCGTCAGATGTGCGGACCATTTTGAATGGGCGGGGAGAGTAGATTAAATAGATCATAGATGTAGTAGGATAAGGATTGAGATTTGGTTAGGGAAGCATGGCGTTTACATCAACGGTTGAGAATCGCTTATTAACTATTTTAAATATTGCTTGAGAATTGTTGTAGAAACTTAATTTTACCAATAATATTAATGTGTAATGGATGGTTAATTTTGTGAAAAATAATTTCGGACGCAAAAATGTAATATTTTATGGGACATTAACCGTTTATATGTATGTGTGTGTTTTTTCGTTGCAATGTGTAACTGTATTGTAAAAGTTATTACAATAAATATTTTTAAAAAGTACCCCCAAAAAAAATCAAATATTTGAAGAAACGTTATTGCTTGAGAGACCATATTGATAACAAGAATCAATTTGTGGTGTAAAGTTTGTCGCCATTTTAATGCGAAGTGAACGACCATCCAAGACAACAGTACTTGGTTTGCTTTGCCTGCCCTTTAACATCCTATGTTTTTCGACCAAGATTGGTCCATTACCATCTAACCTTTTTAAAAGGTGATGCTACCACTGTCGTCTTTCATGTAAAACATGCGTGATCGGTAAATTTTTTCATACGTGTGAGAGGAAGATTCAAACTTATGATGACATCTCTCGATAGTAAGAAGAGAGAAACCATTAAACCGAGTGCTAGTTTATGCGTGATTTGTTTGTTTTAGGTGAGGAAAGCCTTTACAACTTGTAAAGGTTATTCACAAGGCCATTTATTTATTTTCATTGCAAAATAGAGCCCATTACTTTGTTAGCATCTCATATAAGCATTACTTTGATAGTTTGGCACTCTGTTCATGTGTCCACAACATTTTCACATTGCTTTTTATTGATAGCATTCTATACTTACTTTTTCCTGAAACATAAAACAAGCTGTTGAACAATATCACAGCAGAAACTTGGTAAAATATGTCAGTGTTCGGCTACTAATAACACCGAAGTTTTATGATAAAACGTCACATGTGTTGGACTATGCATGTGATTAAGTTAGAAATTATTGGTGTTAGATCATTTAGTAGTTGGTCACCAATTATTTTGAAAAGAGCTCTCTATGACATGTTTCATTCTTTGTCTAAAAGTAGCACCACCAATGAATCCTTATATCAAAACAATAAACATTCTCAAACTGGGGCAGTGATTTGATCTGCCATGGATGCTTTTCAAATATTGGCTTGGTGGGAATCAGATCAGATGTGGATTTTCTCCAAAGGACTAAAAGCATAACACAAATTTAAAATCCATTAGCATCAAAGTTGTTAGGGTTGTACAGTAGGATTAACAAACGACAGCTAACAAAGATGGTGTAAGACTTTCCTTCATTTTCCTTGATTAGCAAGTATCAAGGGTAGGAGGTTGAAGGCTACCAGGCAACCATGCCCATTAAACCCCTTTCTCAAATCAATCCCTTTTCTTGATTCAGAATAACGCTATTTTATCTTCCACCAAGGAAACGACACCAATTGCTTTCGTTGTAATTTGACATAAATACCCATGTAACCAGCAAGAAACTCTTCATTTCAGAATGTAATCTGCAAGGGGCATTCCAGGAACACCAAGTGATACCGTTAAGAGGAACAATTAATAAATATAATCTGTCTTGACCTGCACTCTAAAGTAAAACATGACCAGCAGCTCTAGCTTAATTTCAAACATGTAATTTGTTGCTGAAGGCAGAGGTTTTCTGCAACTGCAATGGAATCTCACTCATCTCAATCAATCACCTAATTAACAAACCCTACTGCACAATGCTAGCTTCCTCACCATATAAAAAGCCACATTAATTTGATGTTTCTTCATCCATTGAACTCCAAGTCAGCTTTGATATAATATATGCTTGAAAAAAGTTAAGCAAGTTAAGTGAGTGAGATCAGAGAGATGGGTTCTAGCCTCCTTCCATCAACAGCCTTTTCCATGGCTATCTTCTTTGCAGTTTGTGCGTTTTTATGTGTGTTTCCTGAGCCAGCACTTGCAAAGCATGCAAGGGTTACCAGGCACTACAAGTTCAATGTATGTATTGCATTTCATGCACAGTGTTTAATGTCAAATTGAAACAGATTGGTTAATTAAGGGATTGACCTTTGTCTGGTTTTTTTTTATTGCTTTGCACAGATCAAGTCACAGAATGTGAAAAGGCTTTGTCAAACAAAGAGCATTGTGACTGTCAACGGGCAGTTTCCGGGGCCTCGGATCATAGCAAGGGAAGGTGACAGGCTTGTGATCAAGGTGGTCAATCGTGTTCAGCACAACCTCACCCTCCATTGGTACCCAATTCTTGTCTTGTGATTTAGCTTTGGTTTTTTGCATGATTTTTTCAGAGTTTGAATTGAGCATCAATGCTGACTAAAATTGGAGAATTTACAGGCATGGGATCAGGCAATTGAGAAGTGGATGGGCAGATGGTCCTGCATATATCACTCAGTGCCCAATTCAGACAGGCCAGAGTTATGTCTACAACTTCACCATTACTGGCCAAAGAGGCACCTTGTGGTGGCATGCACACATCTCCTGGCTTAGGGCAACTGTCTATGGACCTATTGTCATTCTCCCTAAAAGACATATCCCTTACCCCTTCCCCCAACCCTTCCAAGAAGTTCCCATCATTTTTGGTAAATGATCAAGATCATAATCTTTGCTACAAAATCCAAACAATTAAGACATTAATTATAGCATTAAGCATGAAACTTATATTGATTTGCAGGTGAATGGTGGAAAGCAGACACAGAAGCAGTCATCAGCCAAGCCTTGCAAACAGGGTCGGGACCAAATGTCTCTGATGCTTACACCATCAATGGTCTTCCTGGGCCTTTGTATAACTGCTCAGCCAAAGGTATTTACTAATTAATATCACCTAATTCAAAATTAGAGATTTTTTTTTGGATTATAAGATAAACAATCTGCAATATTTTAAGCAGATACATACAAGCTCAAGGTGAAGCCAGGGAGGACCTATCTGCTGCGGTTGATCAACGCTGCACTCGATAATGAGCTCTTCTTCAGCATTGCCAATCACACAGTCACTGTGGTTGAAGCTGATGCAGTCTATATAAAGCCTTTTAAAATCCAGACTGTTCTCATCACACCAGGACAGACTACAAATGTTCTTCTGAGGACCAAATTTAAGTCCCCAAAGGCCACCTTTGTCATGGCAGCTAGGCCTTATGTCACCGGCCCGGCGGCTTTCGACAACTCAACAACCACAGGCCTACTAGAATATGAAACATCTTCTGTCAAAGCCAACAAGAACAAGAAAAAGCTCCCTCTTCTCAAACCAGTGCTTCCAAAGCTCAATGACACATTGTTTTCCATGAACTACAACAAGAAAATCCGCAGCTTGGCCAATGCCAAATTCCCAGCAAATGTCCCAAAAGCTGTGAACAAGAACTTCTTCTTCACTGTTGGCCTGGGAGTAAGCACATGCTCGAAGAAACAAACATGCCAAGGCCCAAACAACACTAGAGTAGTAGCAGCCGTCAACAATGTGACATTTGTGCAACCAAATACAGCTCTTCTCCAAGCCCACTTCTTCAACCAATCAAAGGGTGTGTACACCACAGATTTCCCAGCCAACCCACCATTCAAATTCAATTACACAGGCACTCCACCAAGCAATATTGCTGTGAGCAGTGGCACTAAGGTGGTGGTGCTGCCTTTCAATACTAGTGTGGAGTTGGTTCTGCAAGACACTAGCATCATTGGGGCAGAGAGCCACCCACTTCACCTCCATGGCTTTAATTTCTTTGTGGTGGGCTTCGGTTCTGGAAACTTTGATCCCAAGAATGACCCAAAAAAGTACAACCTTGTTGACCCTGCTGAGAGGAACACCGTTGGCGTGCCCTCTGGTGGGTGGGTTGCTATACGCTTCCTTGCTGATAATCCAGGTAACTTTCAACTCACTTGTTATGTTGTTAGATTGTGAATCTAAACATACATTTAATAATACATATATTCACAGTCTAACAACATAATCTACGGTTTATTTTTTCTAACAAACATCATTAAGTTGGTCACCTGATTGATAAAAAGTTGAATATTTGCTGTTAAAAGTCTTATTCTCATTACCTCTTTTTTGGGTGTCAATTATGGTTATGCAATCTGATTTCTTTTCTTGGTGATGCAATAGGTGTTTGGTTCATGCATTGCCATCTAGAAGTGCACACCAGCTGGGGCTTGAAGATGGCATGGGTCGTTTTGGATGGAAAGAGGCGCAATCAAAAGCTGCTTCCTCCACCATCCGATCTTCCCAAATGTTAATTTCAAATTTTGGTCATAGATTTGTTTTGTTTTGCTTTCATTCTTTTTGCCCTGTTGCTCCCCTTACAAGGCATTTAGGTTATGTTAGTGTGATGATTCAGGAATGTTCCAACTAAAGTTTCCTTCCCTGTGAAAGAATTGGGTTAGGGTTTTGACTTGTAATGCCATTCAATTATTGAATTGAAATGCAATAGAAAATCTTTTTTCTTTTAAGTAAAATTGTCCTCTTATAATTTTGCTCTCTCTGGAATGCTGTTGTGCTCAAGTTTATAACTCATACCATTACATGCAAGCCTGCTTCTTTGAATGGCAAACATCTCCTGCAAATATTTGTGCAATTGGCATATCTTTGTTTGATGGATTGTAGTTCTGAGTTTTTGAACAAACGATACTAGAGATGGTGTAACCGAATTCTAAACCTTGGATGTAACTATGTGATTGAGACTAGCTACCCAATTTGGGGTTTGGTATTGGTAATGGGTTTGTTAGTGTTGTCCTCTTGGAATTTGTTTCTTTAATTCATTCACCAAATATAAAAACAAAAGAAAACCAAAAAGGACCATAATAAATAAATCATTAATTACCTATAATATTGTTTATTAAAAAGGGTAATTTCGTAAACCAGAAACAACCGGCTCCTTCTTAGATTTACAAACCCGTCACCGAGTCACCAACCTCCAAAAACTCGCATTTTGCCAGCTGAAAACGACACACCCCCCCTCCCGGGAGACGCCGTCGTTTTGACGCCGGTGCCTCCGTCACGCCCTCAAACCCCAGAGAACATTCCAGACACAATGACGCGTAGCCTCAGCTTCTCTCTACCCGTAACCGTCGTCATTTTAGCCATCGCCTACATTTACTTCTCCACAGTCTTCATATTCATAGACCGTTGGTTCGGTCTCATGTCGTCGCCTGGCTTATTGAACGCCACCGTTTTCACCGGCGTGGCCCTCATGTGCGTCTTCAACTACACCATCTCCGTCTTCAGGGATCCGGGTCAGGTCCCCTCCACGTACATGCCCGACGTCGAAGATTCGGGTAACCCTATCCACGAGATCAAGCGCAAGGTATCAAATTCATGCTGTTTCTCTCTTAACGTTGTGTCGTGTTTATGGGGAACTATTTTTTTTTTTTCATTTCTATACGATTGGATTGTTTTTTATTTTTTGTCACGGCAATTTTCTGTATATGTTTCAAAATTGTGGCTGGAATTTTTAATTAATATGGTTATAATGTGTTTTGGTGAATTGGGTTGTTTTATTTCTACAGCGAATGCATAAAAGCAGGGTGCTTTAGTTTGGATTGACTTGTTAGTTATGTTATATGAGTTTATGGGATGCTGTTCTTTGGTGATTACTTTAGCTGAGCTAATTTGGAATCGAGGGGAATCAGCAAAATAACATTTTTGCGTTTGTGTTAGTAGGCAATTCGCATAAGTGATTGAGTCACTTTGGATCCTAGTTTAGTAAAATTTTATAGCCATTGCTTACGTATATATATATATACACACATACATATATTTTAAAAATCACAACAATTATGATGGAATTAAAAGGAAAGATGTAATTTTGATAGACAATGAGTGAAACATTTTTTCCGAGACAGTAAAAACATTTGACTTTTAAACTTGTAATGAAGCTGCCTAACGTTGCCAAGGAACTTGTAGGTGAGGAGCAAGTAGATAACTTGGGATGCATGCTCCACTCTAAAAGTCAACCTTTGTTCTCTAGGGTGGAATGCGTGAATTTTGCATTTCAGACCTTTGGAAGTCAGATAGTGTCAAGATTTCAGTACATCCATCTCATGGTTTTCAATGTTCATTACAAATATAATTAAGTGTCATTAACTATATTTCCTTTCTATATATCTGTGAAAGCTTTGTTTTTAATAATTGCTAAGCCATGATGGACATGTGGTTCCAAATTCCAATACTTGTTATTTTTGCGGTCTTTGGATGGCATTGTCTTACGTCGGCTTCTATTTTCAAAAGGAAAGTTCAGAAACATGATTACCGTTGTTTGTCGGGATCTTTAATCTCCTATACAAGTCTTGAAATGTTAAACAGGAACCAAAACCAATTCAATATGGTTGGCTTACCCTTGAACCCCCCCTGTCATTCCTCTTGGCTTATCCATGTTCCAGTTTCCCTAACAACTGAACAATGTTCTCACTTAAATTGAATGGGGCCAACTCACGTGTCTGTCGATATGCTCGAATGCTGATGTCACGGGGTATAATCTTTGTACATATGCACAGAAATCAATGGCAAATCTATTTTGGGACTTTATCTTCAAATATTCACTTCTATTTTTAAACCTCTCAGATTTTGTCATTCAGACTTAGCTGCACCACCTAATCAATCAGTTTTTGCATAAAATGCCAACTTTTCTTTGCTCATATGTCTGCCAGTATGCTCCAGCGCTGATATTCACAGGGTACATTAATGGAAAATATATATTTGGAAAACTAGCTAACTCTATCCTCCAACGTTCACTTCTAATTTTTAGCCTCACATTTTGTCATTCAGAATTTGTTGCATCTAGTCATTTGTTACGTAAAATGCCAACTTTTCTTTTGGTGGCAATAGCATTAGTGGACATCTGGAGGTTTGTGTGATCCCCCAGTTGAGTGAACGAAAACATCAGAACTGAAATGTCATTTTGTTCTTGATAGTATACTGTTCTCAAGCTAGATTTCTGTTATGTTGCCACATGTACTTGAGCTCTTGTGGGAACGGATGGGATGGTTTGAGCTGGAGATAGACCCCCTGGGTTAATACTTTTGTTTTGAAAAAGATAATACCGCCTTATCTTGTATTAAGAATTTACTGTTCTTGTATCCGTTCTTTTATATTTTTAAATTATGTTCTGTAGCATGTGGAAAGAGACTGATAATGTTTGTAGGTCGTATCACCTTCTTTTTATTTCTTTCAATAAAGGTTTCATGTGAGGTGTTTATCCATCATAATTAGTGTTATTATTTAAATAAAAAAATAAAAAAATTACTGGAGATTGGAATAATTCCTAGGAACATGTAATATTTACTTGCAGCAGATTATGGAGAAGTGTGAGCCTTTGCTTCAACGTTATTATTACTTTTGTTGTTTTATTTAAAAAAACAATGTAGTTTGGAACAATTCTTAGGAACATATAATCTTTATTTGCAGCAAGATAGATTGTAGAAAACTGTGAGTCTCTGCGTCCTAGATGACTGTTGGGTGGAATGGTTTTGCAGGGAGGGGATTTAAGATATTGCCAAAAGTGTTCTCATTATAAGCCAGCTCGAGCACATCATTGTCGTGTGTGCAAAAGATGTGTTTTGCGAATGGTATGTTTTATCTATGTTAACCTTTGATGCCTTGTATGTCCTGGATAATGTGTTAAAGTGCTGCCTCTTGGTTGTAAAGGACCATCATTGCATATGGATTAATAATTGCGTCGGCCATGCAAACTATAAGGTCTTCTTCATCTTCGTTGTGTATGCTGTAATGGCATGCTTCTATTCCCTGGTAAGTTATTATTTTATTAAATCCTATTGGACTTTGACTTTTCTTTTTTGTCTTTCTGACTATGCTGTAATTGCATGCATTGACTGGCGTGGATGTTCTTTTCCATTATTACATGGGAAACTATGCCATTTTCCTTTTGAGTACCATATGTTATTTTTGGAGCGCTAGAAGGCAATCCATTTGAGTGAAAAGATGGTGAATGTTTAAGACATAATTTTCTTTCCTTTGTTTTATTTGTTTCATTATTTTCAATTCTGGATTGACACTTAAAATTTTCAGGTCTTACTCATTGGTAGCCTAACTTATGATCCTGAAAAAGATGAGGAACAAACTGGAGACTCTTTTAGAACTGCATATGTAAGCATATGTGCTGGGTTTGTATTTGAGCCTTGCATGCTAGACAGTATGCTTAACCTTTCTTCTTTTTTTCATTTTCAGGTCATTTCTGGGCTGTTGCTAGTTCCATTGTGTGTGGCACTGAGTGTTCTTTTAGGTTGGCATATCTACCTCATTTTGCAAAACAAGACCACAATTGAGGTTATTAGGAATTAACAAATTGTATATCATTGTTCTGCTCTTTGGTGGCAAACCTGATTTTGATATCTGGACTGCTATTTCATAGCCATTTCTTTTTCCTTCTTTCTGGCAGTACCATGAAGGAGTGAGAGCTATGTGGCTTGCAGAGAAAGGAGGGCAAATCTATTCCCATCCATACGATCTTGGTGCCTATGAAAATTTGACAATGGTATTTTTCCTTTCTGTTCTCCTTTCGTTCGTGAAAAATATATGTACCCTCTTAAAGGCTTTGGGGCACTTAGAGAGGGTTACCTTCCAGTCCAAACTAGTTTACATTCATTTATATATTTCTTGTTTCTCTTTGGTTGGAATGTATATGTTACGGTATGATTTGTTATTTTTCTACTCTATTTTACACATCCATTACATTCAAGCAATGTTTGACTGCTGTAGGTACTTGGTCCAAATCCCTGCAGTTGGGCACTCCCCGCATCGGGACATATTGGATCTGGACTCCGCTTCCGTACAGCCTATGATTATGCTTCTGCTGCATCAATGTCAGAATGAAGCTTTCTCGATTCATCATCTTGGTTTGCATTGGTGAGAACAAGACTTACCAATGTGACGGGTTGGATGGTCCGATCTTGTGGTGATGTCCAGCAGTCCTTTTCCATTGTCCTAGGAGTCGCTCCAAAAGAAGAAAAAGGCCTTTCCTTTGTCTCCTACTAATGGAATTATGGTCTAGGAGTTCCTGAAACTGTTCGCTTCTGTTACACGATTTTGGGGAAGCAGTTGAGTATAGGGTCCTTGTCAATAGCCAAAACTAATCAGTGTTTGAGTAGCTAGATGCAGCATATGTGGGTTACTTTTTTTCCTTGTCTTTGGGTAGTTACTTTGAACTATAGTTTACAATTTTACTTACAGCATGGTCTCAGCTGATAGGTTTTGTACAGAGAGGGAATCAGCATCCCAGCTTACCAACCAAGGCACCTTTTGTAGAGGACAGCGCGGGGTGCCTGTGTAACTTGGAAGAGTTGTAATCCTTTTGTAACGTGAAAATAATAAGAGAAATGGTGCTTTACTTTTTGTTTTTGCTGAAAAGTGCTGTTATTTTTAGGGAGTTTCACTAAAACACCCAAAATGGGGGTTGAAATTATAAAAAAACCCAAGCACTATTTAAACATATAAACACACCCAAAACTCATCATTACACACACTCAAAACTCATTTATAAACACACCCAAAAAGTTGACTTTGGGGTTGATTTTGGGTGTGTTTCTATGTTTAAATAGTACTTGAGTTTTTTTATAAATACATGTCTAGAATTGGGTTTATTTATAAATTTGTATTATTTTTACCCATGTCATATTTTCCCACCCCAATTATTTCTGAATAAATACTCTTCCCACCAAAAGTCTATCAACACACCGTTCTTCTTCCTTCATATTTTTTGTCCATAAACCCTGTCTCCTTTATTTTACCAAAATCTTACCCGTATTACGTAGGTTGGTTAGTCTGTGCCTGTTTTTTGCACCAGACTTCGATCCTCCTCCTCGTACAACAATAGAGTAATTTAGATCTTTTCAAAAAATTTGTATTCTTCTAGCAGTCCTTAAACACCTTTTGAGTCAACCTATCATCCAAATACACTAGAGGAGTTTATGCTGTATTTACTAATCATGAATTGGAATTCTCATTAGGAATTGAATTCCATCTATGGAGGATTCTTACGTTTACTTCACATTAAAGAATTGAAAAGTAAGTGGGATCTATACAAAATTAGGAATTGAATTTCTGATTTTGGAAGAATATAATTCTTGGGTGGGAGTTGGTATTCTAAGGGCCAGTTTGGCATTGTTGTGCTATGAAAATAATCGTTGTCAAATTTACTGTAAGATAAAGCAGTTTGACGTTTGGTAAACTTTTTGTTAAAAGTGTTGTTGGTACTGATTCCCGCATAATCAGAAAATGAAAGCACATCATTAGTTGTTTTCCCTTTTAGCTTTCTCTCACAACAATTTTTAACAATAAGTGATTTTCTCATAGTTAACTAAACAGGCTGGGCTTCCTAAATATTTTTTAAAAATCACTTATCACCCCAAATAAGCAATGTCAAACATGCACTAATTTCTGGAGAACTAACTCATTAGGAATTCATCTTTTGTACCTATTATATCATCACACAATTTTCAAAATTTCAAATTTACCATTTATTTTAACTTAACAACAAGGATATTTTAGTAATTATAACTACTCCTACCCCAATTTTATATAATTTAGTAAACAACTTTAAGAAGAATTTAGAATCTAATTCCTCTCAATCCATATAATTTAGTAAACAACTTTAATAAAAATTCGAAATCTAATTCTCCTTAATTCAACTTTCCCTCAATTCAATTCATCTTTAATTCAATTTCCTCTAATTCAATTATGGATTAGTAATGTGATAATGTGCATAAATGATGGGGGTGCTGGTAAAAGTGGAAGTGGGGCTTTAGAAAGCAAGGGAATTCGCGCCAAACCACGTGGAGCCAAAATGGCTCCATCCGACTCAAGCATTACCCACGCGAGACATCCATGCAAACGTTAAAACGCGCCAAAACCAAAGGGTGGACCATCAATAGATTTGAGGTAAAAAATTTATCGTGCAATGCACGCGCCATTTTGGAAGTGTAGATAAAGTTTCCACTTAAAAACCAAGGAGAGATGAGAGAGAAAGAGAGGGAGGAGGATATCTATATTTCTTCCGTGATTTGTTCGTATACACTACCAACTGAGCAAACATTTTGTATTATTTTTTAGTTCTCTCTGGAACTCACCGAGTTCGTCTCTCTGGTTCCAGATGGAGACCTACGAGGAAAACCCATCTCAAATCGACAGGTTTTGATTTCCGGGTTTCTATTTTCCGCTGAATTTAATGCCTTTTTACTCATTTTAAAGATCATTTCTTTGTTTGTTAACTGTTAATTGTTACTGTTATCTGATTTGATGAAGTAGCTGAATTTGATCCCATAGCGTTTAAATGAGTTGTTTTGTTGAGTTTCAGCTGCAAAGTAGCTAAATTTGGAGTTGTTATTATCATCTAGGATAGAATTTAATGCAAAATGTTTTTTTTCCCCAAATGTAAGTAGTTAGTTATTTGGATTTTAAAAGGGGCAATTTTGAGATAGAGAGAAATTGGATCTCCTACTGTCCCATCCTTGGCCTCACTTGGTTTTTTTTCAATCATAAGCGGTCTTTACTCATTGCTAGTGTGGAAATTGTCATCAGACAGTATAATTTTACTTGATTGCTTGCTTGCTGGGTGGTGTTTGGATTGGATGACCATACAGTTTGAAGCTTGGTGCATATTTCATGCCCTGATTTCTTCTGAAAGGGACATGAATTGAGTTTACTTCTGATTGCTTTTATGCCTTTCGGTTCTGTGACTGTAGCTATCTTGGGGGTTTTTTTGGGTTAAATAGGAAACCTGAAATTTTTTACAGTTCTTGTTTGCCTAAGTCATTGGTAATTGCAGGTTTTTCTCATCCTTGTTCTGCTATTACTCTCTTAAACAGCTCACATGTCATGAGTGTTCTGAAGAGGATCAAGAAAAGAAAATTCCAGGCCGAGCAATTGGGCTTGCCAATACCAAAGCATAAATGCTGGGAACGAATTTTTCCTTCTGATGAACCTGTCTCCATGTTTGATGAAAATCCTGAAGTAAAGAACATGCAGACATGTGCAACGAAGGGAAAAGTAGAGGGAGTGATCCTGGATGGTGGGTCTGAATCTGAATCAGGAAAAGGTAGCAACAGTTTTGCTGGAGATTCTGATTCTGCAACATCGGTTTATGTTGAAGCTAAACTAGAACCGGTGTATGCAAGGGCATGCCTAAATGACAGGCCTTCCACTTCATATGCGAATGAAGTGCATCAACCTGCATATCCTGATGGCGAAATACAAGCATTTGAGAATTATGACGAGCACCTCCAAGAATTTGGAAACCAGGTGGATTACATTTTCTCAGAATATGGAGAGGACTGCATTGATCAGTGTAAAGACAAGGAAATTGAAGATGTTATATACCCCATTGGTTCGAACACAAATAAATACATACTTTCATCTGGAAGATGGAGTGTGAATCAAGATAATTCAGGTGACCTATTCAAAGTTTCTATTTGACGAGTTGAGAATAAAATGATTATTGCTATGTATCTTTACATGTGGTATCCTTGTTTTATCATTTACTGAGTGGCATAACATTTTCATTGTTGTGTATGCAGACGTTCAATCAGCTAGCAACAGGAAGCCAACCATTGATCAAGAATTCGAGCAGTATTTTTCCACGCTAATGCTGTAGAACTCATTGCTTGGATGTGAGCAGCAAATGTATAGTTTTTCTTTATCTTTTGTATGTGAATCATGTAACCAGTTCATATTTTGACCAGCATTTTGTTATATATTATGTTTAATCTGAAATGGGTTATGCAAAGCCTCCCCTTTTCTCATTTTAGCTTCCTTGCATCTTAAATTCACATCATATTTGTCTTCTTCTTTTGGTGTGGGAGCAAATTGATGCTTCTGAGAAGAAAGATTACAAGTTTGGCATATTTGGGAGCAAACCATTTTGCGGTGGCTGATGTTACTACTTACTGGCAAGCAATGTGATAGGCCTATGGTTTCTATACTTGTACTAAATGACCTTTAAATTAAATAAATTCGACAGGACCTTCTTTAAACAATTTTGTTATTCAAATTCTTCCATCATGAGCCTGCCAATTTCCATACCTAGCCAATTTTTTATTTATTTATCAACCATGCCTATGCCAGTCAACTCGTACGTTTCTGCAAAATTATGCAGACTTTGTTTTCAATCAAAAGTAGAACTTCATTAACCTTTAAAATAAAGTAACAACCATTGAGTGCAATTAAAAAAACATAAGTACAATAGAGAATAGAGTGACCTTATTAAAACCTTACCATAAAACAACCTCAAAGAAGAAAAAATTCGTTTCAGAAAAAAGAGTACCACGGCACCTTCGACAAGAACAAAACAAACACAAGCTAAACCCAATTCCCTATTTTTATCAGAAATATGCAGAATTAAATAATAAAAATATTAAATTAAATTGTGGGTTCGATTGTTTCCATTAGGTGGGGTTTGGAGTCTATCCAGCATTATGAGTCAAAAATTAAAGTTAGCATGGAACGACACTCAGCAGAACAGAACCCATCCTTTATCAAAAAAATACAAACAAGAAAAAAAATGTCATTAAATATTGAATATTACACCATGAGATATATTAACAGAGAAAGAGAAAATCCGCGGATATTATTTTGATGACTCGATCATGGATGTAGGAAAAGAATATGATCATTAATCATCATACGTAGTTATAAGTTAAAGGCATTAAAAGAGGAAAATTCAATACAAGATCACTCAACATGAGGGAAAAAAAGAAGAAGAGGGAAATCCGGACACATGGTCAGTCAAACTCAACACTTCGGAAGATCGGACGGCGGTGGTGGTAACTTCTGATTCGGTTGCGGCCCATCCTGAACGATCCACGCCATCCTTAGCCCCCAGCTTGTGTGAACGTCCAAGTGACAGTGCATAAACCACACCCCTGAAAGCATATCAACAAAAGCAAATCGTTAATGATAATGTCAATTTTTTTTTGTTTATTAAACAAAATGTTTAGCAGTTTTGATTAATAGTTCACTCATTTTGTTACTATTTTAATATAATTCATCTCGCACAGTTTGCTATGTTATGTTGTTAAACTGTCGATCATGTTATACCTGGATTGTCTGCGAAGAAACGAATCGCAATCCAACCGCCAGCTGGAACACCAGCAGTGTTCCTCTCAGCAGGATCCACCAGATTAAAATTAGCAGGGTCCTTAGTTGGATCATAGTTACCAAACCCACGTCCAACAATAAAGAAATTATACCCATGTAGATGGAGAGGGTGACTCTCAGCACCCAGAATGCTAGTGCCCTGAAGCACCAGCTCCACACTTGTGTTGAAAGGCAACACCACAGCCCTTGTGGCATTGCTCACATTAGTGATATTTGGTGGTGTTCCTGTATAATTAAATGCCACAAGTGGCTTGGTGGGAAAATCTGTGGTGTAAACTCCACTGGACTGTCCAGAAAAATGTGCTTGAAGCATTGCTGTTGATGGCAGAGCAAAAGAGAAATTGTTGATGGAGGCTGCAAATTTCAGGCCATTGGGTCCTTGGCATGTTGAGTTTTGGGGACATGGGGATGTTCCAAGTCCTAAAGTGAAGAAAAATCTTCTGTCCACAGTTTGCGGGACGTTGGCTGGGAATTGCTTAGTGGCCAAGCTACGGAATTTTTTGGCTAAGTTATCGACAAATTGGGTGACGTTGACAAACTTGGTGGCATTGATGGGTGGAAGACTTGGTCTGAAGAGGGGAAGGGCCTTGATGGAAGTGTGATGAGTGGTGTTTGGGTGCTTGTATTCGAGGATTCCAGCGGTGGTGGTGTTGTCTAGGGTGCCTCCACCGGTGAAGTAAGGCCGTGCGAGGATGAGGAAGGTGGCATTGGGAGAAGTGGGCTTGGTTTTGAGGAGGATGTTTGTGGTTTGGCCTGGGGCGATGAGAAGTATGTCGGTTTCAAAAGGTTTGGTGTAGACAGCATCAGCTTCAACCACTGTTAGAGAGTGGTTGGCTATGCTGAAGAATAGCTCATCGTTGAGTGCAGCATTGATTAATCTGAGGAGGTATGTCTTCCCTGGTTCCACCTTTAGCTTGAATACATCTGCAAACACCACCCGCTCAAATAAAAACCTGTCTTCTTTTTTCATGTTATGTTGTTAGATTATTAATCACGATCAACATAACAATATGTCTAATACATTTTTTACCTCGAGACGAACAGTTGTACAAAGGGCCTGGAAGACCATTAATGGTGTATGCATCTGAAACATTAGGCCCCGCTCCTGTCTGAAGTGCCTGGCTAATCACAGCCTCAGGGTCCACATTAAACCACTCTCCTGTACACCCAAATCCATGTAAAGAGTTAAAACAATTTCCACTACATTATTGTCAAAATTTTCAAATGGTCCAATGCCTAAACTCTAGCCAGCTGCTACATGATTACCAAGAATAATGGGGACCTCCTTGTAGGGTTTCACAAAAGGGTAAGACTCATTGCGCTTCGGGAGAATGATGATCGGTCCGTGAAGGGTAGATCTCAGCCATGAGATGTGAGCATGCCATAACAGAGTTCCTCTCTGGCCTGTGATGGTGAAGTTGTATGTGTATGCCTGACCTGTCTGTATAGGACATTGTGTAATGTAAGCTGGACCATCTGCCCATCCAGTTTGAAGTTGCCTAATCCCATGCCTGCTCTCTCCCACAAAACAAACACAAATTTGAATTAGCAATTTTTCTTTTTAACTATGCACATTTGCTAATTATGTAAATATATTCATATATACCAGTGAATTGTGATATTGTTGGAAACATGGTTGACCACTTTGATGAGAACTTGGTCACCTTCCCTTGCCACCAATCTGGGCCCTGGGAACTTTCCATTCACACTTAGAATGCTCCTTGTGTTGCACAATCTTGTCACATTGTGGTACTTAATCTATACAGCAAGGTTACAAATTTGAGAAACTTATAAAAAAATTATAATTCATGTATAGCAAAGTCAAATTGTTGAGGCTCAAGGTGATGGGAAAGAATGTACATTGAAAGTGTAGTGCCTTGTTTTGCCTGCAGCAAACTCCGGCATCCACGACGCTGCAATGAAAAAACTAAACAGCAAAGCTGCCATTGAAGTGAAACAAGGAAACTGAGGAGAACCCATTGCTCTTTCTCTCTCTTTCTGGTGTGATAATGTGTAGAGAGTCAAGGTGGCTTGACGTTAATATAGGGAGTAGGAAAAAGTTGGCAAGAAAATTATATAATTGTTTTAAGTTAGAAGCGGGAGCTTTCATGAAGCTATTCACTGAAATTACCATTGAGATGGAATCTACTTGTGTGCTCCGCTTTGATGTTGGTCGAGCTGAATTTTAGAGTGCTGATTAAGTAATACTTACCTGTTCCATCTACACTAATTTTGATTACCACAATGACCTTTTGCTCAATGGGGGAAATTTAATAGCAAAAATCCAAGTTAAAGATAAAATTGTCCTGATTATGTAGTTAAACAGTCAATTAATTCATGTTGTACTAGCTTTAGCGTAGAAATGGTGCTGGCAATTAGTGTTCTAGATGTCACATTAGGAAGCGGGCGTCTTTCTTTTATCCTTTGGTTCTCAAATCCAAACAACCCAACAAAAACAATGCTCTTGTGCCTTAGATTATTTTCAACTCATGCTCGAAAACAGTTTCTAATAATCTGACATGTTATGTTGTCAGACGTTTAAACCCGAACCTACATAATATCATCAACGATTCATATTAACACTCACATAAGTAAAAATGGGAGACTGGGTGGTTGTAGAAAATCAAGTAAGTATTCCTCGTTTACGCATGCTGAAGCTCAAGGCTGAAGCTTATCAAGGCAGTTTCTATTTCCCTTTATTTGCAATCTTCATTTGGGCCTCCCCAACTGTTTTGCCTTGGGAACTAAGGAATAATAAAACAAAATAAACAGGTCCACGTCCACAAAATTCACTCCAAATCATCCACATCCACATACATTTCTTCTGAATAACATCCGTTAATTAATTTTATATTCCAGCTACATGTCCTAATTTCAGAAGTCGTTCGATGAAAGCCATGGCCCATCTTATCTACACCACGTGTGAAAATAACAAAAATCTATTTTCATATTTGTGCTTTCTTGAAATTGGAATTTGCATGCGGTCAACACCCAGCACAAGCTTCTTTGATTGATGATTTTGTAACAATCTGTTTGGTCAAATTCCAAACAAGATCAAATGCAGCAATTGCTTGGGAAGGAAGTGCATCAAACTCATTGCCCATAACAGTACGACCATTATTAATTCTCCCAACATTGTTGACTGTCACAGAGTTTCCAATTCGGTTTGGTTCGGTTAGTTACGCGGTATAAATTCCAGCCTAGTCCCACACAAGTCAAATTGAGCTGGATTTTGCTTCATCTTCATCACTCATGATGACCCACTTGAGGCCTGCCGTTCTCCCTCCACACCCACTCCGATATCATCACCCAATTAATATACGAAAATGGAAGAAAATTAAAACCAAATTGCAAAGAAATAATAATAATATGCACAAAGAAAAACCAACAAATAAAATCTCCGTGTAGAAAAAGAAAAAAAAAAAAAAAGGTTTTGAACTTTTCAGGCACAGGCTTGAGTTCGAGGAGGCAGAGCAAACAGAGCATCGAGATCAGGGGGCTGGAAGTAACCATTCTTCGGCGGGTCCCGCTGCGTTTCCCCAACCGCCTTCTTCTTCGGAGGCGGCGGACACAGAAGCATCTCCGGTATCTGGATCAACACAACAGCTCCGTCACTCGGTCGGTCACAAAACTCTCACAGTAGCAGAGGAGCGCGCGCTTTATATAAACGTTTTTCGAATTTGAAAACGAAAATTGGGAATATGCGATCGTGAGGTTGGGGTGTGAGACAGCTAAGCGATGAGTGGGAGCTGGAAGACGTGTCAGATTCTTAATGGAGGTTTATATCCACGTGTCTTTCTACATGGTGTCATCCAGTGGCGTTTGTATTTTTGTAAATTTTTTTATTGTCGGCGCCAACTTTGAGTCGGTGCTTTGCGCGGGAAATTAAACACGTTTGAATGTTGGGCCATTTTTTGAAGTGTGTGTGCGGTCCAGATTGAATTTTAAGGGAAGGCCGTGGCATAAACGGCGGATGGGCCATGTCACGCTTAAAACGTGTCGCTTTCTTTCAGTCTCTGGGCCCACCTTTTGATTAAAATAAATTAAATGATAAGAAGATGGGCGTGGAGGCTTGGAGTTGGTTAACTGATACCTTCATATGACTAAAAGGCCCAATGAGAGGATAAAATTGGTTATACTTTGGAAGGCCCAAAACCCTACACCTGAACTGAGCCATAATGCTCTCTGTTGAAATCACATGTTGAATTGGTCATCCTTTCCTTCCCCATAAGCACCACATGAGCATTCAGATTAGAACTATGCATCATGTTATCAAGATTGATAGTTTTTTCTTTTACTTTTTTTCAACTATACTATATATTTCTCCATTCTGTTAGGAAAACAAATCTCAAGTTCGCACCGTCGTAGTCCTCGTAACAACGTCATCATTGAGAAATTTTAAAAAAAATTGCCAAATTTTGGACATTTTAGGTCATCTTCCGTCATAGGGCTATATGTAGTTCAAGACTATAATTTTAGCCCTTGAAAATATTAATTTTTTTAAAAATAGTGTAGGGCTAAAAAATTTCATCTCCAGCCATGTAGGGCTATATTTTAGGATCCTCCATATTTTATTATTTTGAAAATAAAAAACTATTGTACAACACTCATACATTCTACTACTATTTAAACAATGACAATTTTGAAAAAAAAAAATGTTGCATTTCAAAAGGTTATGACATCCCAACAGTCAGAACCAATTGTTTATAATTTTTTATATTATAATAATAACATATATGTATATATGTAATATATACTGTATATGAGTATATACGTGTGTATATGTATATTATAATACATACATGGGTATAATATATATGTATATGTATATATATTATAATATACATATATACACGTATATACATGTATATTATTGTTATTATAACATACCCATACATATTATAATATACATACATATATACACATATATAATATATATGTATAGATATTTTTGAAAGAAAAAAAAATATAGTTCTAATACAATCATACACTAAACGTAAGATAAGTGTTATACAACTTAGACCAAGCCAAGACAGTTCTTAAGCATAGTCCATGCCAAGACAGTCATGTGTAACAAACGAACCCTAAAGGGCTAAATATGGCCCTCAAAATTTAGCCAAATTTTCGTTTAGCCCATGATTGGAGATGAGTTTTGCATATTTTGAGGGCTACATATGACCTATGACCTAAATTTTTTTAACCCATTTATTTTTATTTTTAGAATTTTATTAACTAAAGGGAGGTTCGAGCACTGCTCGAGAGGTCTTGAGGGGGTACGAGCATTATTGAAGGTGTATCAAGAGAAAATTTGGCATGGGCTACATGTGCCTTGGAGGGCTAAAGGCTAAATTTGGCCCCCAAATTTTGGCTAAATTTTTTTTTAATCCATAATTGGAGATGGGTTTTGCATATTTTGAGGGCTATATATGACTTATGGTCCATAATTAGAGATGACCTAAAAAGCTTTTAACCCATTTTTTCAATTTTTAGAATTTCATTAACTGAAGGGAGATTCGAGCACTGCTCAAGAGGTCTTAAGGGGGTTCGAGCATTACTGAAGGTGTTTCAAGAGAGCTCAAGCATTGCTCAAGAAGGCCTCGAATGATATTCTCACAAATTTTCCGAATCGTATCCTCACAAAAGCATAGACCCAACATCATCAAAGGAGAAGACAAAATGACACTAAATGTATCCAAACAAAACCCAAACTCGTTATCTCATCAACCTTATGCATTGTGAAGGTCAAATGTACTAACGGTTACACATCGCGCAATCTCACAAGTGAGAGGAGCGTACCTGTAGATCACATAGATACAAAAACAAGGGTGGTGTTTTTCCAAGGTAGAAGAGCTGTTTTTGACTAGTAGGGGAAGATGCATCTGCCGCGCGCCCTTGCATTTCGAAGGACGATCGACTAGACATGTGCCCTGAAGCAGACAGACCCAGTTTCCTTAGGACCCACCCCTCCATCTCTTTCTTGTTTTCACCCCAAAGAGATTAGTTGCACCGTCACTTCTCGGATCAAGCCCTCCTCCAACACCAGGACGTCGACAGCTCCAGAGCCGCCCCCTCCATTTCCCTCGTGAACCTCGACACGAGTGGGGCCTCCCCATCACACGTGTCCCCACATGGCCCCACGTAAAAAAGTGTTGACTTTTGCAAATACGTCCAACCAAAGATTTCTGGGTGTGTGTGGTTTTTTTTTCTAATTTCTTTTTGTTCTTAACCTGTGCCCACTCCACTTCTTCCTTCGCTAGCCGACGCCTCTCTCTTTCCGATTGTCTGACGGTCAACCCGAGTTTGTGTTTTTATGCGGGTAGGGTCACAGAGAAACAGCGCACCCTCTAGAGGTTTTCTAGCATTTACAAAAGTCAAAGCCACAAGCCGCCAAACCTGCCCTCACTCTGAAGCAACCACTCGGTTCCCCTTGTGTTTCAAGATAAACTTCCTAAATAAGTTATGGTGATGGTAGTTGAATAATACCACACACACCCTAGATTTTTTTTTTTTTTTTTTTTTTTCAGCACGTCATTTTCTAGCCCTGATTAACAGTCTTACAACATAACGTAACGATATGTCATTCCTCCTAATGCAGAGTCCTAATCACCTCTTCATTAATGAATTTGGATGGGCATAATTTAGTTTAGTTGCAAGAATTAATTTTGTTTTCTCTTGTGAGAACGATGGAGGCAATTGTATGTGTGTGGACCACTATGTTGGTATTTAGGCATAGGCACTGACTGTTCGCACCGCCAGCCCATCGACTGCAAAAATGTATCTAAAGATCTAAATAGTGAAGCGTAGAGATTTGGGAAATTAGACATGGTTCAAGTTATATAATAAGCTACTGATTGCTTGGAATTATCAATAAATAAATAAAAATCTTGGAAATTATGCACTAAACATGCATGCTTAGTCCTCTATGAGTATAAACCTTAAATACGGGAAGGCTTTAATTTTTATCTTCTTTTCGCAAATATTCTATGTTTGTAGTA